GGGAGGGGGGAGGGAGGATATATACATATATATACATACACAATTAATTGTATATTATATAGTACCTATAATTAATTTGTATCTTGGCTAAAATCGACCGATCTCGGTCGGTTGTTAAATTAAATATTTTTTTAAAATTTAAAATTATATTACCGAGCGATTTCGGTCGAAATAGTCGTGGTCAAATGGTCAAAGGTCACTTAAATTTACCGACCGAAATTTCCGACCGATGTCGGAAATTTCCAAATTAGATCTGCCACAGACGGGTTCTTCCCCATTTTCCTCTTTTCTCTATCTCTCTTCCATATCTCTTCTTCTCCTCCCTACAGTCGTGATTCCCCCAAATCCTCACCCAAAGTCAACTCTTATCTCCCTCCTCACCCAAAAACAAAGCACCTAGAAGTCTTCCTCCCCTCCCCCGACATTGTTCTGTCGGCACCCACTGTCTCTACCGCCACCACTGCTCCGCCGGCACCCATAGCACACTGGTCATCCTCTACCACCCAAAATCAAACCTCCTCTCCTAGCATTTCAAGGTTAGTTATCTACATTTTTAAATTTAAGTATTTTTTAAATTATTTTAATTGTATAAATTTGGGTTTAGTTAATGTTTAATTAAATTTAGGATTTACTTTTATTGATTATGTTTATACTAGAATTTCTATGTTAGAAGATTAAGATTATGCTAGGGTTACAACTTATGATATATTTCGTTAAATATTTAAATTTTTATTTTAAGAACAAAGTTATATGCATGACTTAAGACAAAGATAATTAGATTATAAATCCTTTAAAAGTAGAATTTATTTACGGATATATGTGAACTTTCAAATTACTTCGTTTAATTGAATTTTAAAAGAACTTATTTAGGAATATATGTGAACTTTCAAATTAATATAACATGCAATTTATTTTTTCTTTGTGTAAATGAAATATCGTAGTTGGATGTATAATAGGAATTATCTTAATCGTCAATTTTCTAGGGAGGAATTTATAGAAGGGTTAATGAATTTATTAGGCATGCAATGTCACTTGAACCCATTCAGTTTGGAGGGATGATTAGGTGTCTTTGTGTGATGTGCAAATGTTTGGATTTTTTTGGGATCGGAAGATGTTAAGACTCATCTTTATAGAAAGGGGTTTATGAATAATTATTTTGTGTAGACAAGTCATGGAGAGGTTGATGGTACTGATGGTGTATTTCATAAAATAGTTGTTGGTCAAAGTAGTAGGTCGGTGGGGAATAACGTTCAACATCCTAGGTACCATGAAATGGTTGCAGATGCTTTTGGGATGCACTTCGAATTTGAACCCCATGAAAGTGTTGAACAAACTCCTAACGAAGAGGCAAAATATTTTTATGAACAGTTAGAGGCCGGTAGTCGTGCACTAAGTGAAGGGAGTATGTACTCTCAGTTTTTTGTTGCGGTTAGATTATTAAATATCAAAACAAATACCAATATTTCTCAAGCGGGAATGGATTCTTTCATTGGCATTATGAGTGATTTAGTTGACCCAACTTTCAACATACTTGAAGATTTCTATAAGGTTAAAAGACTGGCTTATAAGTTAGGACTCTCATCTATGAGAATCGATTGTTGTGAAGATAGTTGCATGTTGTATTATAAGGGTGATGCAGATTTAGAAAGTTATAAATTTTGTGAGAAACCTCGTTTTAAGCGGGTTTCCAGCAGGAAGAAGGTTGTTATGAAGTCGATGCATTATTTACCTCTTATTCCTAGATTAAAGAGGTTGTACGCATCGATGAGTTCCGCTCCTCATATGAGATGGCACTATGAAAATAGAAGGTCGCCTGGTGTTATGTGTCATCCTTCAGATGGGGAAGCTTGGAAGCGTTTTGATAGGACGTATTCAGATTATGCTAGTGAACCGAGGAATGTTCGGTTGGGTTTGTATGCTGATGGTTTCACGCCAGTTTTTGTTTCTGCAACACCATATTCATGCTGGCTAGTCTTTATTACGCCGTATAATATTCTGCCTGAAATGTGTATGACTAGTTCATATATTTTCTTAAGTTGTGTTATTTCCGGTCCGCGCAATCCAAAGAGTTTGATTAATGTATATTTGCAACCTCTAATTGATGAGCTAAAACAGTTGTGGTATGATGGAGTTGAGACATATGGCATATCAACTAAGCAAAATTTCAATTTGCATGCAAATTTAATGTGGACCATTAATAATTTTCTTGCGTATGGAATGTTGTCTGGGCGGATGATTACTGGAAAGTTAGCATGTCCTTACTGCATGAAAAATGGTAAAGC